GGTCACAGTGTTAGAGATGGGGGGGGTCACAGCGCTAGAGATGGGGGTCACAGTGTTAGAGATGGGGGTCACAGTGTTAGAGATGGGGGTCACAGTGCTAGAGATGGGGGTCACAGTGCTAGAGATGGGGGTCACAGTGTTAGAGATGGGGTCACAGTGCTAGAGATGGGGGTCACAGTACTAGAGATGTGGGTCACAGTGTTAGAGATGGGGGTCACAGCGCTAGAGATGGGGGTCACAGTGCTAGAGATGGGGGTCACAGTGCTAGAGATGGGGGTCACAGTGCTAGAGATGGGGGTCACAGTGCTAGAGATGGGGGTCACAGTGCTAGAGATGGGGGTCACAGTGCTAGAGATGGGGGTCACAGTGCTAGAGATGGGGGTCACAGCGCTGGAGATGGGGGTCACAGTGCTGGAGATGGGGGTCACAGTGCTAGAGATGGGGGTCACAGTGCTAGAGATGGGGGTCACAGTGCTAGAGATGGGGGTCACAGTGCTAGAGATGGGGGTCACAGTACTAGAGATGTGGGTCACAGTGTTAGAGATGGGGGTCACAGCGCTGGAGATGGGGGTCACAGTGTTAGAGATGGGGGTCACAGTGCTAGAGATGGGGGTCACAGTGTTAGAGATGGGGGTCACAGTGCTAGAGATGGGGGTCACAGCGCTAGAGATGGGGGTCACAGCGCTAGAGATGTGGGTCACAGTGCTAGAGATGGGGGGGTCACAGTGTTAGAGATGGGGGTCACAGTGTTAGAGATGGGGGTCACAGCGCTAGAGATGTGGGTCACAGTGCTAGAGATGGGGGGGTCACAGCGCTAGAGATGTGGGTCACAGTGTTAGAGATGGGGGTCACAGTGTTAGAGATGGGGGTCACAGCACTAGAGATGGGGGTCACAGTGTTAGAGATGGGGGTCACAGTGTTAGAGATGGGGGGGTCACAGTGCTAGAGATGTGGGTCACAGTGTTAGAGATGGGGGTCACAGCACTAGAGATGGGGGTCACAGTGTTAGAGATGGGGGGTCACAGCGCTAGAGATGGGGGTCACAGTGCTAGAGATGGGGGTCACAGTGCTAGAGATGGGGGTCACAGTGTTAGAGATGGGGGGTCACAGTGATAGAGATGGGGGGTCACAGTGCTAGAGACGGGGGTCACAGCGCTAGAGATGGGGGTCACAGCGCTAGAGATGGGGGTCACAGTGTTAGAGATGGGGGTCACAGTGTTAGAGATGGGGGTCACAGTGTTAGAGATGGGGGTCACAGCGCTAGAGATGGGGGTCACAGTGTTAGAGATGGGGGTCACAGTGTTAGAGATGGGGGTCACAGTGTTAGAGATGGGGGTCACAGCGCTAGAGATGGGGGTCACAGTGTTAGAGATGGGGGTCACAGCGCTAGAGATGGGGGTCACAGTGCTAGAGATGGGGGTCACAGTGCTAGAGATGGGGGGTCACAGCGCTAGAGATGTGGGTCACAGTGCTAGAGATGGGGGGGTCACAGCGCTAGAGATGGGGGTCACAGTGCTAGAGATGGGGGTCACAGTGTTAGAGATGGGGGGGTCACAGTGCTAGAGATGGGGGTCACAGTGCTAGAGATGGGGGTCACAGTGGTAGAGATGGGGGTCACAGCGCTAGAGATGGGGGTCACAGTACTAGAGATGGGGGTCACAGTGCTAGAGATGGGGGTCACAGCGCTAGAGATGGGGGTCACAGTGTTAGAGATGGGGGGGTCACAGTGCTAGAGATGGGGGTCACAGTACTAGAGATGGGGGTCACAGTGTTAGAGATGGGGGGGTCACAGTGCTAGAGATGTGGGTCACAGTGTTAGAGATGGGGGTCACAGTGTTAGAGATGTGGGTCACAGTGCTAGAGATGGGGGTCACAGTGTTAGAGATGGGGTCACAGTGTTAGAGATGGGGGTCACAGTGTTAGAAATGTGGGTCACAGTGCTAGAGATGGGGGTCACAGTGTTAGAGATGGGGGTCACAGTGTTAGAGATGGGGGTCACAGTGCTAGAGATGGGGTCACAGTGTTAGAGATGGGGGTCACAGTGTTATAGATGGGGGTCACAGCGCTAGAGATGGGGGTCACAGTGTTCGAGATGGGGGTCACAGCACTAGAGATGGGGGTCACAGTGTTAGAGATGGGGGTCACAGCGCTAGAGATGGGGGTCACAGTGTTAGAGATGGGGGTCACAGTCCTAGAGATGGGGGTCACAGTGCTAGAGATGGGGGTCACAGTGCTAGAGATGGGGGTCACAGTGCTAGAGATGGGGGTCACAGTGCTAGAGATGTGGGTCACAGTGGTAGAGATGGGGGTCACAGTGCTAGAGATGGGGGTCACAGTGCTAGAGATGGGGGTCACAGTACTAGAGATGGGGGTCACAGTACTAGAGATGGGGGTCACAGCGTTAGAGATGGGGGTCACAGTGCTAGAGATGGGGGTCACAGTCCTAGAGATGGAGGTCACAGTGCTAGAGATGGGGGTCACAGTGCTAGAGATGGGGGTCACAGTGCTAGAGATGGGGGTCACAGTGCTAGAGATGGGGGTCACAGTGTTAGAGATGTGGGTCACAATGCTAGAGATGGGGGTCACAGTGCTAGAGATGTGGGTCACAGTGCTAGAGATGGGGGTCACAGTGCTAGAGATGGGGGTCACAGTGCTAGAGATGGGGGGGTCACAGCGCTAGAGATGGGGGGGTCACAGTGTTAGAGATGGGGGTCACAGTGTTAGAGATGGGGGTCACAGCGCTAGAGATGGGGGGGTCACAGCGCTAGAGATGGGGGTCACAGTGCTAGAGATGGGGGTCACAGTGTTAGAGATGGGGGGGGTCACAGTGTTAGAGATGTGGGTCACAGTGCTAGTGATGGGGGTCACAGTGCTAGAGATGGGGGTCGCAGCGCTAGAGATGGGGGTCACAGTGCTAGAGATGGGGGTCACAGTGTTAGAGATGGGGGTCACAGCGCTAGAGATGGGGGTCACAGTGTTAGAGATGGGTGTCACAGTGTTAGAGATGGGGGGGGTCACAGTGTTAGAGATGGGGGTCACAGTGCTAGAGATGTGGGTCACAGTGCTAGAGATGGGGGTCACAGTGCTAGAGATGGGGGTCACAGTGCTAGAGATGGGGGTCACAGTGCTAGAGATGGGGGGGTCACAGCGCTAGAGATGGGGGTCACAGTGGTAGAGATGGGGGTCACAGTATTAGAGATGGGGGTCACAGTGTTAGAGATGTGTGTCACAGTGTTAGAGATGGGGGTCACAGCGCTAGAAATGGGGGTCACAGTGCTAGAGATGGGGGTCACAGTGTTAGAGATGGGGGTCACAGTGTTAGAGATGGGGTCACAGTGCTAGAGACGGGGGTCACAGTGTTAGAGATGGGGGTCACAGTGCTAGAGATGGGGGTCACAGTGCTAGAGATGGGGGTCACAGTGCTAGAGATGGGGGTCACAGTGCTAGAGATGGGGGTCACAGTGCTAGAGATGGGGTCACAGTACTAGAGATGGGGGTCACAGCGCTAGAGATGGGGGTCACAGTGCTAGAGATGGGAGTCACAGCGCTAGAGATGGGGGTCACAGTGCTAGAGATGGGGGTCACAGTGCTAGAGATGGGGGTCACAGTGCTAGAGATGGGGGTCACAGTGTTAGAGATGGGGGTCACAGTGCTAGAGATGGGGGTCACAGTGCTAGAGATGGGGGTCACAGCGCTAGAGATGGGGGTCACAGCGCTAGAGATGGGGGTCACAGTGCTAGAGATGGGGGTCACAGCGCTAGAGATGGGGGTCACAGTGCTAGAGATGGGGGTCACAGTGTTAGAGATGGGGGGGGTCACAGTGCTAGAGATGGGGGTCACAGTGCTAGAGATGGGGGTCACAGTGTTAGAGATGGGGTCACAGTGCTAGAGATGGGGGTCACAGTGCTAGAGATGGGGGTCACAGTGCTAGAGATTGGGGTCACAGTGCTAGAGATGGGGGTCACAGTGTTAGAGATGGGGGTCACAGTGTTAGAGATGGGGGGGGTCACAGTGCTAGAGATGGGGGTCACAGTGCTAGAGATGGGGGTCACAGTGTTAGAGATGGGGTCACAGTGCTAGAGATGGGGGTCACAGTGCTAGAGATGGGGGTCACAGTGCTAGAGATGGGGGTCACAGTGCTAGAGATGGGGGTCACAGTGTTAGAGATGGGGGTCACAGTGCTAGAGATGGGGGTCACAGTGTTAGAGATGGGGTCACAGTGCTAGAGATGGGGGTCACAGTGCTAGAGATGGGGGGGGTCACAGCGCTAGAGATGGGGGTCACAGCGCTAGAGATGGGGGTCACAGCGCTAGAGATGGGGGTCACAGTGTTAGAGATGGGGGTCACAGTGTTAGAGATGGGGGTCACAGTGTTAGAGATGGGGTCACAGTTCCAGAGGTTGGGTGGGGTCCTTGTGTGACAGAGTAAAATATTTTTAGGTGCCCAAGGATCTGAAGGTGTCCTCGGAGGTGCCTGAGGGTCCTCACCGTACGGAGGTCATCGCTGGTGTGGTCGTCCACTTGCCCATGGGACAGGTGAGGTCACAGTGCTGATGATGTTGCTGATAATGATGATGATGCTGATGATGTTGCTGATAATGATGATGATGCTGATGATGGTGCTGATAATGATGATGGTGCTGATGATGGTGCCGATGATGATGATGGTGCTGATGATGATACCGATGATGGTGCTGATGATGTCACTGATGATGTCACTGATGATGTCATCGATGATGTCATTGATGATGTCACTGATGATGTCAGTGATGATGTCACTGATGATGTCATTGATGGTGTCATTGATGATGTTGCTGACGATGTCGCTGACGATGATGTCACTGACGATCTTGCTGATGATGTTGATTATGCTGATGATTTCGCTGATGATGTCACTGATGATGTCACTGATGATGTCACTGACGATGTCGCTGACGATGATGTCACTGACGATCTTCCTGACGATGTTGCCGCTGATGACGATGATGATGCTGACGATTTGACTGATGATGATGCCGCTGATGACGATGACGACGTTGTTGACGATGTCACCGATGACGTTGCTGATGATGATGTTGATGACGATGTTGTTGCTGATGACGATGATGTTGGCGATGCTGATGATGTCATTGACGATGTCACTGACGATGATGTCGCTGACGATGATGTCACTGACGATTATGCTGACGATGTTGTCGCTGATGACGATGTTTCCGCTGATGACGATGTTGCTGGTGATGATGTTTCCACTGATGACGATCATGACGATGCTGACGATTTGACGGATGATGATGCTGCCGCTGATGACGATGGCGACGTTGTTGACGATGTCGCCAATGACGATGTTGTTGATGTTGTTGCCGATGATGTTGATGACGATGTTGATGACGATGTTACTGATGATGTTGATGACGATGTAGCTGATGATGATGTTGATGACGATGTTGTTGCCGATGATGATGATGATGATGACGATGTTGCTGATGATGATGTTGATGACGATGTTGTTGCCGATGATGATGATGACGATGTTGCTGATGATGATGTTGATGACGATGTTGTTGCCGATGATGATGATGTTGTTGACGATGTTGCTGATGATGATGATGACGATGTTGTTGATGACGATGTTGTTGCCGATGATGATGATGTTGTTGACGATGTTGCTGATGATGATGATGATGTTGCTGATGATGTTGTTGATGACGATGTTGTTGCCGATGATGATGATGTTGTTGACGATGTCACCGATGACGTTGCTGATGATGATGTTGATGACGATGTTGTTGCTGATGACGATGATGTTGGCGATGCTGATGATGTCATTGACGATGTCACTGACGATGATGTCGCTGACGATGATGTCACTGACGATTATGCTGACGATGTTGTCGCTGATGACGATGTTTCCGCTGATGACGATGTTGCTGGTGATGATGTTTCCACTGATGACGATCATGACGATGCTGACGATTTGACGGATGATGATGCTGCCGCTGATGACGATGGCGACGTTGTTGACGATGTCGCCAATGACGATGTTGTTGATGTTGTTGCCGATGATGTTGATGACGATGTTGATGACGATGTTACTGATGATGTTGATGACGATGTAGCTGATGATGATGTTGATGACGATGTTGTTGCCGATGATGATGATGATGACGATGTTGCTGATGATGATGTTGATGACGATGTTGTTGCCGATGATGATGATGACGATGTTGCTGATGATGATGTTGATGACGATGTTGTTGCCGATGATGATGATGTTGTTGACGATGTTGCTGATGATGATGATGACGATGTTGTTGATGACGATGTTGTTGCCGATGATGATGATGTTGTTGACGATGTTGCTGATGATGATGACGATGTTGCTGATGATGTTGTTGATGACGATGTTGTTGCCGATGATGATGATGTTGTTGATGTTGTTGCCAATGATGATGACGATGTTGCTGATGATGATGTTGATGACGATGTTGTTTCCGATGATGATGATGTTGTTAACGATGTTGCTGATGATGATGATGATGTTGTTGACGATGTTGCTGATGATGATGATGTTGTTGACGATGTTGTTGCCGATGATGATGATGTTGATGACGATGTTGGTGCCGATGATGATGATGATGTTGTTGACGATGTTGCTGATGATGATGATGATGATGTTGTTGATGATGTTGATAACGATGTTGCTGATGTTGATGACGATGTTGCTGATGATGATGATGTTGATGACGATGTTGTTGCCGATGATGATGATGTTGTTGACGATGTTGCTGATGATGATGATGTTGTTGATGTTGATAACGATGTTGCTGATGTTGATGACGATGTTGCTGATGATGATGATGATGTTGATGACGATGGTGTTGCCGATGATGATGATGATGTAGTTGACGATGTTGCTGATGATGATGATGTTGTTGATGATGTTGATGACGATGTTGCTGATGTTGATGACGATGTTGCTGATGATGATGATGATGTTGTTGACGATGTTGTTGCTGATGATGATGTTGTTGACGATGTTGATGACGATGTTGCTGATGTTGATGACGATGTTGCTGATGATGATGATGATGTTGTTGACAATGTTGCTGATGATGATGATGTTGTTGATGATGTTGCCGCTGATGACGACGACGAGACAGGAGTGGTCCCTCTCTCCGGAAGTCGTTCTGGACCCTTCCCATCGCCTGCCCACCTCGTCCACCTCGTCCACCTCGTCGCCGGCCCGACTGCCCATCCGCACGGGATACTGCGTCAAGCAGGGTGGCGTGGTGGGCACTTTGTTCTACTCGTCCTACTCCAGCACAACCACAACCATCACCTGTTACACCACCACCACCACCACCACCTACTACTACTACACCAGCACCTGTTACACCACCACCTCCACCTGTTACACCACCTCCACCACCACCACCTACTACTACACCATCACCTGTTACACCACCTCCACCACCACCTACTACTACTACACCAGCACCTGTTACACCACCACCTCCACCTGTTACACCACCTCCACCACCACCTACTACTACACCATCACCTGTTACACCACCTCCACCACCACCACCTACTACTACTACACCACCACCTCCACAACCACCACCATCACCTCCTGTTACACCACCACCACACACTACTACTACACCACCACCTCCACAACCACCCACTACTACTACACCACCACCTCCACAACCACCACCATCACCTGTTACACCACCACCACCTCCTGTTACACCACCACCACCACACACTACTACTACACCACCACCTGTTACACCACCACCACCTACTACTACTACTACACCACCACCTACTAATACTACACCACCTCCACAACCACCACCTACTACTACACCACCACCACCTACTACTACTACTACACCACCTCCACCAGCATCACCACCACCATCACCTGTTACACCACCACCACACACTACTACTACACCACCACCTGTTACACCACCACCTACTACATCACCACCACCATCTCCACCACCACCACCTCCTGTTACACCACCACCGTTACACCACCACCACCCACGACTACTACACCACCACCTCCACAACCACCACCATCACCTGTTACACCACCACCACACACTACTACTACACCACCACCTGTTACACCACCACCTACTACATCACCACCACCATCTCCACCACCACCACCACCACCACCTCCTGTTACACCATCACCTGTTACACCACCACCACCACACACTATTACTACACCACCACCTGTTACACCACCACCACACACTACTACTACACCACCACCTCCACAACCACCACCAACTCCTCCTGTTACACCACCACCCACTACTACTACACCACCACCTCCACAACCACCACCATCACCTGTTACACCACCACCACCACCCACTACTACTACACCACCACCTCCTGTTACACCACCACCACCCACTACTACTACACCACCACCTCCACAACCACCACCATCACCTGTTACACCACCACACACTACTACTACACCACCTCCTGTTACACCACCACCACACACTACTACTACACCACCACCTCCACAACCACCACCAACTCCTCCTGTTACACCACCACCCACTACTACTACACCACCACCTCCACAACCACCACCATCACCTGTTACACCACCACCACCACCCACTACTACTACACCACCACCTCCTGTTACACCACCACCACCCACTACTACTACACCACCACCTCCACAACCACCACCATCACCTGTTACACCACCACACACTACTACTACACCACCTCCTGTTACACCACCACCACCCACTACTACTACACCACCACCTCCACAACCACCACCACCTCTTCCTGTTACATCACCACCACCACCTACTACTACTACACCACCTCCACAACCACCACCACCTACTACACCACCTCCACCACCATCACCTCCACCACCTCCTACTACACCACCACCACCTCCTGTTACACCACCACCACCTACTACTACTACACCACCACCTCCACAACCACCACCAACTCCTCCTGTTACACCACCACCACCCACTACTACACCACCACCTCCACAACCACCACCACCACCCACTACTACTACACCACCACCTCCTGTTACACCACCACCACCCACTACTACTACACCACCACCTCCACAACCGCCACCAACTCCTCCTGTTACACCACCACCACCTACTACTACTACACCACCACCTCCACAACCACCACCAACTCCTACTACACCACCACCACCACCATCACCTCCACCACCACCACCTCCTGTTACACCACCACCCACTACTACTACACCACCACAACCACCACCAACTCCTCCTGTTACACCACCCACTACTACTACACCACCACCTCCACAACCGCCACCACCTCCTGTTACACCACCACCACCTACTACTACTACACCATCTCCACAACCATCACCAACTCCTCCTGTTACACCACCACCACCTACTACTACTACACCACCACCTCCACAACCACCACCAACTCCTCCTGTTACACCACCACTACCTACTACTACTA